CTGATAATTCTGAGACATACAGTACGCGCTAGCTTCCTCCTCCCCTCCCCCTGCCCCGTATTGAAAGCTTCTTCTGTTCTCGCCTTGGTTCGACGCGCAAGCAGACGAGGTGGACGTGATTATTGCTTATGTATTTCACATAAAAGTACGTGTTACTCGTGAGTAGTACTTGTACAAATGTGAAAGATTATCAGGTGCATAAAGAAGTATGGTTATACGGAACAAATGATTGCCAGAAAGTGGAAATTGAAGACCTTAGGAAAAGACTGACAGAAACGGAACTATTTTCACGGATAGGGAAGTACAACTATATTCAAGGAAAAATCACCATAAACAGTTTCGTGGATACCCAAATAACCAGTATCAGCCCAACTGTCGTTTCGTAACATATCACGCACACCACGAAGATTCGAAACTTCAGGTATTCTTTACTTCATGGTAAACCAGGATTGCAACTAAAGGTTTAAAACCCCTAGTATTAAAGTCTACGGTACACTTGAGGGAAGAATTTGATGGAACAAACGAGTCACGATTTATTTTTTAGAAGATTTCCACAGACTTTCCCTTAACTGACACGCGATAAATGTTCTCGGTAATCAGATCGAACATATGACACCGATTGATGGACATTAATGTCCGCATTTTATGGGATGGTTCCTTGCACCCTGTCCAATTTTCCATTTCGATAGAGATGATCCAGCCACGAAGTATATAGATATCAAGAAAATATGATAAATGCCCATTGGTAACTATTTAAACTGAATACTTGATCAAAGAGTCTAATTTGTTCCGCAGTGCAGAGAGTATTCTAACCCTACCATACATAGTTTTGGCCAGTTCATGTTTGTAACCTAAGCGTGACAAACCCATTATATTCATACATTCAACAAATGACAAAAAGATGCGAAGAAACAATCTGCAGAATGTGTTCACAGGTTGTGGGGCATATTACTTCCCAGTTACCCTGACCAAAGNGGCTCTCCACCCGAAGCTAGCAGAACGGAGCTCGGAGTTCACAGCCCACTGGAGGGCAGTGTCCAGTTCATCGGATCATATACCTTTTGGAAGGAGTCGAACGTCCACGGTGCCAAATACACCTCGATTCCCAATCAAACCGGTGACCATTGCCACAACCAGGAAGACGTGGGTAGTGTGGTTGGTTTGGAATAAGGAATTTTAGCCAACTGCCGTAGGTGAACCACCAGTGGTCCACCAACCCAGTTACAGCCCCGGATGTTGGCTTCTTATGCTCTCACTTTGGGAAAACATCTTCGCCAGGGTAGTGAGTAGGGCTTGCTCAGCAGTTATTTGAGGCGTCGGATGGGAGCGAGGCGCAAAAGAGGGGTGACCACTCCCACAACCCGAGACGCCCAAACCTGATCCATGAAGTAAAAAAAAATGGTCAGACAACTGCGTTTTCGATCTGTACGATTTGCTTGCACTCTTATCCGCGTGTCTGGTTATCATTAATCCCAGGCACGAGATTTTGCTATCAAACCGGTGTTCTACCTAATTAATACAAAACTTGGCTTCTTCGGAACACTTGCGTTTATTGCGATACACAGAGCGCAGTTCGTCGAAACGATGATGATACAACGAAGGTGAGTCAATTTGGGTAAACGGAAATAACGTTTTATCTACGTTGGTAACAAAATCGATGGCAAAAAATTTACCGGTAAGGAGATTTTAATTTTAATTAAATATATATATATATACCTTAGGTTAGTAGTTTCCGAAATCCTTATTATGGTCGGGGGTAAGTGTCTAGGATTGCGGCTGATCATCCTTCCTTTGCATCTCGCGAAATTCTCCCATACGACCAAGAGTCTTAAATAGCTTCTGCTGAGAAAGTTCTACTCACTGCTTTCTCGTGGCAGAGGTGTTTTCCCACCAAATTGAGAGAACAAAAAGCCAACATCTGGGGCTATAACCGGGTTGGTGGACTACTGGTTGTCCACCTACGGCAGTTGACCAGAAACCCTGATTCCAAACCAACTAAGAGAAGACGTACGAACCACACTACCCATACNACCCATACCTTCCTGGTTATGGCAGTGGTCACCGGCTCAACTGAGCATTGAGGTGTATTGGGCACCTTGGACGTTTGACCCCGTCCAAGGGGCGTATGATCCGATGAACTGGATTGCGGTTTTCCCACACCACCCCGCTGTCTTGCGGATCAGGCTTTGGCTAGCCGAAGGTTCCGATTAGGGATTCCTCAAGAAAATTTACTTGCCTTGGCCTGGGCAACCTAGCAGTATTCAGCCCACATGCAAATCATGGAACTTCTTACTTTCTTATACAGATTGTTGTACCATGATTTGTTTGGCACGCAGTCTGGCCTCAGACGTGAGAAATATTATAATAATCATTAGGTTGATGGAAACCAGTTTGGCACATCCTTTCGTCCCGGTAGATTGTCGAACTTTTCTGAAACAGAAATCTACTGATAACGTGACTCCGTCAGAACACTTAGAAAAGGATGTCCAAACAAGAAATTCGAAAACGGCGTCTAACGCACTCCGTTCGATAGCCTGTTGTTTACGGGTGCCTAATATCGAACAGAATCATAAATGATAGTGTAAATATAGTAACTCGCTGCCAGTTATGGCAAAACACCACAATACATAACAATAGTCTAGCAGAAAGATAAGACTTTAGAAAGAAAACACGAATAAACATTAAATATTATTGGGTAAAATTTGATGGTGATGATTGCCTGAGAATTGTACCCCTGGGTAGAAACTACGATCGGGGATCTCATATTTGGGTTCGGGATACAATGCGCGAAAGCTTTTCAGCATTCAGTTCTAGTCCGTAAGCTAAGAGATACCCATGGTGCTGGCGAAGTGGTTTATTCCCTGTCACCGACGTGTTTTGCACCCTATGATCTAAGGTTCGAAAACCGCCACCGCCACCACCCATCTCTGGTGAGAGACGGATTTTCTGTCGCCCGGTTCAGAACCACGCCTAATACGATCCGCCATCCCAAATCCCAGGCCTTAGGTTACTACTCACCATCACTAAACAGCAAGCCTTCGTGACTAATGGGATCCAACCCGACTGCTGTTCATCGCACAAAAAATCTGTGGTAAAAGCTGAGGAGAACGGGAATCGATGCAAACTTACTATCGTGCACAAAGTTCACAACTTCTTTCGAACTCCCAATAGAAGACGGGTTGTGTTCATCCCCGGTGTTTCCGGTCAGATCCCACAACCGCAACGTTTTATCCCAACTACCGGACGCCATCTCCAGGGAATATCCACTGATGTCCGGGTTGAATGTGATTGCACTGATCGGAGCTGTGTGACCGGAGAGAACGGAAAGGAGTACGCCGGTTTGCATGGACCAGATAAAAACTTCGAATGTGTCCAAACTACCAGCAGACACGAGGCTACCGGGTCCGTCCACAGTCAACGATGCAAACTGTACTTGTCGTGTGGGTACAGTAAAAGTGCGGAAGTTCCGATACCTGATTGCGATTCAATTAGAAACAGAAGCATAAGTGAATGTAAACCAACTTAGAGAGTATTCCGGAGACTACTTTAGTTGCAAACAACGGAGCCGTTTACATTCCAAAAAACGGTGTGGTGACACCAGTATTGTCTTATATCCACGAGTATTCGCCAAAGTAACAGGTGTTTCTCCCTGTATGCATATGACCGCTTCGCGCTCAAACACCATTTTGACATCAGTCCTAATGAGTCATTGTAAATAATTCTCCAATGATGAGGATGAAACCAAATGAACAATGGGAACAACAGCATCAAGAGTGAGGAACGAAGGTCTGTGTGCAAATTGAATGGGATCATGAGCAACAGATGAAAGGGCCATCAAAACCAAACCCGACAAATGTCTTTTGTATTTCTTGTCTACGGCTCGGATGGGAGATTGATTATGTCCAAAAGACAAGTTCGAAGTATTTGGTTTAAAGCACACTGGCACCGAATTCCAAAACTTTGTTCAATGAGAAGAAGGGGAGTGATTGTCCTCATTGTTTGCAAATTTTAACCGGTACCGTTTTAGTGACCGTATTCTAGTCTATTTCATTATTATCCCAGTGGGAACTCAGTATTTCAAACTATTTGGACCAAACGCACATCGAGGTAAGTTTAATTGTGATGAAATAAATTGTTTTGTGGTCATCTGCTGAAAGGATAAACCTAATCGTTCAATTGTGGAAACCGTATGAGTTTTCCATGAGACTTTCAAAGGTCAGGCCCACATAACAGATTGACTTTCACGTGCACGATACTTATTCCTTTGCTGCGGTTGGCTCCTTGGAAAGGATGAGCCGGCTCCAGGCATGGGAGTTTGGTACGAGAGCCGACCCCAGCGTCACTCGGCGTTTTTTTATTTTGAAGGCGCACCTCTAGCCTTTGCACAACCAAGTGCGAGCTGCAAGGCAACAAGAAGTAATCCATCGCCCCGGAAGTGAGGGGGTCAATGACTTTAGTTTTAAAAGGCCAGCCACATCGACCTTTGTCATGACGCCGTCATTGGGCTTATGCGGCTTTTAAACAGGAACCAGGCGACCAGCCTGAAACCCACCACACCCTGGTAGTGCCACCGCTGTTTGTTCGCGAATGCTTATTTATTGCGGTATACCACAACTTATTCATAACTAACCTTCTTCGGTGAAGGTATCCCTCCATCCTCAACCCGGGGACGAGCCTGTCAGCATTCAGCTCTGCTTAACCCGATACAAATCTGTTAGTTTCCTAAAAGTAACAGAAGGTTTTTGGCAAAAAAAAGAAAATTGCATATGGTAATAACGGTTCTCTATGTGGAACAAAACAGGAATGATGGTACAGTGATTCTGTAGCAAGTAAAGAGTAAGGACTTACCGAACCAAGTCATGAGCTCGTACGGTTCCGTCCAAACTNCTAGCCGATACAACCACTTTAGCTTTGGATGCTGGAAATGCCACACCTGTCACTGCGGCAGTGTGTTCGGAAAATGTGACCAAGGCCCGGCCACTGGCTACACGCCAAACCTTGACCTTGGCATCATGACCTCCGGTGGCCAGATGTAATCCATCTGGGGAATAAGCCAGACTAGTCATTTGACGTGCATGTGATTCGGCTTTCAAGTAACAAGCCTGTGAACGCCATTCCCAGACCGTCAGTTGGCCGTGATCTTCAGAGGCAGCGGCAATCCAATCACCAGACACGTTTACGGTTAAAGAAGTGACCGGTCGGTGAAACAGCCTATGCGTAAAGAGGGGTTCAAGAAGTATGTATTTATTAGAACACTCAACAGTAAAATCTACAAAAAGTGTCGATGTAATCAAACCCTTTCGTGTACTACAGACCAACGTGTGTCGGTCATCCTCACGAACACGAGGATCTGCAGCTCATTTACGATAAGCAAAAGCCTATGCCCTGGCACCAAGTGCGGCGAGCCACACAGGGTCCCATTAGGATATGCATGGTATCGATCCAGATTGCAGCGAACACACCTAGCAGCTAAGCTGGGCTACGGTGATAGCGTTTGAACCTCGGCATGAAACACGCCAGTGGTAGCGACTTAAACAGTTCGGCCACCCCCAAAACCGTTAATCTGATAGTTTACCTTTTTAGAATGCATGAACCAGGGAATAAATGAAGCTACGGGGTACGTTCGTTACGGTAACTGATCAACTCAGTTATCAACTTGACCACCGAACGCCAATTCCGACGTGGTACGGCCAGATTACCTAGTTAAAGTGGAAGATATTCGCCATTGATGGAATTTGTTGGCTCTGTTCCTTACTTTTACTTCCTTGGAGACAATAAACTGGCTCCATGACTGTCCCTGGTCATAGCTACCCATGTTTCGGCGGTCGGTGGCAAGGTCCTCGCGGATTTTGATGATAATGATGATGATCAGCTGTTGATCCAGTTGTTTTTCCATCCACGAATGCCGTACATCATGGGAAGATCATATTGGTCTACATACATCTCGCTTCCCTCCCCTTGTAAGCGGCGCCAGCCTGAGTAAGGAGACGGTGATACAGCAATAGTGGCCAAAGGGTGATCAGATTTGTGGGGGACGTGCCTAAACCATTGTAATGGGCGATGCTGAGTGCGCACTGACAGATGGGCAATGCGAAAGCGGGTTCTCATGAAGTCATTTGAGATTCTGTCACGAAAGTTCACCAGTGAACAAGGACCTCTAATCGTCTGATATCCTCAGCTCTTAGTGACCCGGTGTCACGTCTATATACGAGGACTAGGTGAACTACCGTCAAAAACACAGTTTGGCTCTGAGACTAGTCTCATTTATATGCTAGAGGGTATTTTACCAGTGGAAATGCTGTGTGAGCCGTGTCTATGCACCGCGTGACATCCAAAACCTTCAACGAACCATTCAGTTGACCAAGCGTTGATGTAGCGTTGATGTTCTCGAGCTACGCCATACACACCCCCAACGGTTGTCGTGATCCTTGACCTAGAAAGAGTCTTCGACTCAGTTGATCACGAATCCCTACTGGGTTCGCTCCTTTGCAAAAAAAATATCGCAGAAGTACGTGAACATACAGAGTTCACTTTACTCCCATATTTCTGGTAGCTTAAGGATCTGCGGCGAGCCAAGTGGGTCGTTCTTCACTAGCAGTCGTGTTCGTCAAGGGTGTCCCGTTTCGCCATTCCATCGTTTGCCTGTTCGAATCTATGGAGGTTGCACAAAGAGTACTTGACAGATTAGTAAGTTTTATCGCGTCGTTCGGCGTGGGCTTTGCAACTGGATAGTGCAAACTGATGCTGAAAGACCGGGTGTCGCCGATTTCTGTTCTAAAACTAGACGGTCAGGAATCAGCTGAAGTTGACTGCTTCTCGTACTTAGGTAGCTGCGTGACCAACGACGGTAGAGCATCGAAGGAGATATCAGCCCACATTTCCAAGGCTCGGGTAGCGTACGCAGGACTAAAACACCTGTGGCGGCGACGTGATGTGTCACTAAAGTTGAAAATGCGCGTATACTGCGCCACTGTACGATCAGTTCTGCTTTACGGTTGTGAGACCTTGGAAGTGTGGGTAATAGACAGACAGACTGCTGTTTTGAGCTGCAAAGCCAATGTGAATACGCACCAACGGTTTGTCAGGGATTGAACAACTGTAAAGTTTGACTCATCTTGGACGAACAGGCGCATTAGTGACAGCTTTGGACGGGTTATTACAGTTCTCTGTGAACGATCGCCAAATAGACAAATACGGACGAGTAATTTCACGCGATTGATTCTCGGATTTTCCGTGTGGAATTGATGCTGCACTATTTTCTGTAGCGTCTTTGGAATCACGATTCTTACATCGAGCAAGGTACAATCATTCACAATCGACAACAAATCCTTCCGGCAACACTCGTTGGGGTCGCGTGATTTTGGCGTGAACAATCGTGACTTTCCCACCGTCGAGAGGAAGCCCCAGGTACCCCGCTCCTACGTCCATCTAGCGGGGTTTTGTGACCGA